ATGAAATTAAATCAAAATAAAAGCATTTCTCCATAACTCTCTGTCAAATTAAGAAAGCAAGCCTAGTAATTGTTACCTGTAAGGACTGATTATTTTTTTGGTCAGTGTCTGACCAAAATCTTAGCTTGGGCTGCAGCACTGCAAAACCTCAGTCTGCTGCAGGCATTTGTAACCCAAGCAGGTCTGCCTTTTTGGGGCACGGAGCAGAGTTTGTTAGCTTTGGCTATTCAGTGTGAATTATAGAGGTTATTGGATGATTCCCAAACTCCAAGTGTGAAAGCAGTCTTACTGAACAGCCATGGGTCCTTTTTCTAGTTAGCTAATAGTTTCCACGTGGCTCATGAGCCAAGCAGAGATGGTCCTGGGCAACGCCAATCTTGATCTGTTGGCCAAAGATGGTCAAACCCCAGGGCTGAAGTGTGTGTCAATGCTCAACTAGCTAATAACATGAGAATACGGAACAGAAATAAGTCAGTTTATACGTTAATATTATGCATTGGTTGGCCCTATGAAGCTGCTGTTTGATTGTCTTTATTTAGAAATAAGAAAACAAAGTATAACCTAAGAAAATTCCTTCTGGTTGTTTTTAAGTAAAGCGCTGATCTCAATTTTGAATCGCAGAGATTAACGCTGGGATTGGTATTGCATGGATAAAATCCTATGTCTGAAATGGAAATAGAAGATTCCCCTTTAAAAGAAGATCAATTAAAAGAAGATGAAGGTACTTCAGAATGAGAGCAAATTTGAGGAAGCTAGAGAGAAGCACTGCAGAGTGTGAAAATACTTCGACAAAAATGCTGAATTTAGGGAATTGTTAATAACAGCAAAAGAGAACTAAAAAGGCTTTCAACAAATTTTGCTTTTATAGGTCAGAGATGTATTTAAGAAAAAGACTAACAAATTGAAACTGTGGACCCTGTCTTTGAGACATTCAAAGTGAGTGCATCTCTTAACCTACTCCCCGAGATGAATTACCAGTCCCTGATCGGATTGCCCCATGTTCTCAAAGTTCTAATTACCACTGTTTTGACTCAAACTTTTGTGTTAAAGGCCATTTTTATCTCTTCCCTTCATGCTGTCATGACATATTGAGCCTGTCACAGCTAAAGAGCTGTAGCAACCCTGTGACTGTCAACTGCAAGTCACAGACCAATGTTTCTTCTACACATCCTTAGGTCACAGGCCTAAGAATTAATTTCTGTCTGAATAAATCACCGTAGTGTACGCTTGCCTTTTGAGAGTCTGCCAACCCAGTGTTTGTAGCCAATAATTGTTTGGAATTTTTTTTGGCCCATGATTCAGTTCTCATAGGACAGGAACTTTGGGAAGCAGTTGTTTTCCAGAAGGAAAAACGTCAGGGTAACTCATGGTTCCTACTTAAACATCATTTTCCAGAACTGTAGGTAAGATATAGTTTGCTTGAGGTTCTGTTAGATACTCAGTACTTCCTTCATGGCAGACCCTTCAAAAGGGTTACAAAAGAAGATTAGAAGTCCTAATTTTCTCTCTTCACCACTGACTAAAGCATGCACTACTGTAGATCAAAAATACCTTCTATTTATAGCAAATCAGAACCAGACTCCTTGAACTGTGATACATATATTTTCTAACTAGCACTGTACTTTTTCCAAGATGCGCTTGTTTTCTTATGCTTTAAAAGGCTCAGCTGATGTATTTTTCTAATTTATATTTCCAAGCACAGACTTGCAGTTGCACTTTGTTATATATTATATACTTGGAAGCTGTGTCATTCCCATCGTGCTTCTAGGTTTTGTAGGATTAAAAGCATTAAGGGATGCTTCTTCTCAGTCTTCTGCTTTCTAAAAAAATCAAGGCATAATTTGTGCTGAAATCTCAAATTTGTAAATAATTACATTGGCTAGCTTACATCCATCTTCCTCAGATATGTATAGTTTGCCAAACTAAGAATCACATTATTGCCATGAGAATTCTCTCCCTGCAATCCAGAGCTCCCACTCCAGCCCAGATGGACATACCCAAACTCACTGGTTTGGGTACCAGCAGTGACAAAGCTGTTGAGAAGCTAGAAGTGTGAAGGCCTTGGCTTCTACTTTTTGTCCTGACCCAGCTTCAATACCATGCAGCTTAAAGCTTTAGCTACTGGAAGTACAAGCAAGTTTGAATTTTCCTTTGAAAGCCTGCGTGATCGTATACTACATTTATATGAGTGTTGCTCTGGTGATTTCCATTTCTCCCTTCTTGGACCCTCTTGCCCATGCAGTACAGTAGGAGTGACCCTCTCATTCTACAGCTTTCAGCCACAGTTTGCCTGTATGTGAATCCAGGTGGTGAAATAAATTTTATGCCTAGAAATTTTCCCATAAGAAGACATATTACTCCGTCACCTCATTCAGTGGGTGCCAACTGCTACCAGCATGGGGTCCATCTTCTCAGGTGGACTGTGGTTGGCAAGCAAGAGATGGAAAGCATGTCTAAAATGCAGTGATGTGTAGGCTTGGAAGTCATGGGCGTTTACACTTTGGGAAGCAAAAAGGGGTCCCGAGGTGCATCTTCATTTTGCCTTCTGACCCTCTGACCGTGGTTAAAAACAATTATTTTTTCAAAATCCTGCCTGCCTCCTCCTGTCGGGGAGCACTGGCCTCACCTCACTCAACTTCTCTGGGTCATGAGCCAGGAACAGAGGCAGAGTCAATCATCTGTGGTAGTATTGTTGGTAAAAACCTCTGGGCCCCAATCTGGATGGGACCCTGCATGGACTTGAGTGACGTTTTGAAGCTTTGCTGCTTTTAAATTCCTAGACACCCACTGAGTTCAAACTCCATTAGCATCTCAAGCTCAAGGAACACCTTTCCCAAACGCGGGGGCAGTGCAATATCAGCATGGAGTAGACAAGAGAGAAGTATGCAGAGCTACATATGTATGCAGGCTGTAGCAAAATCCATACTTTTCCGTTTATAGAGAATCTGAAGTTTATCACCTTTTTCTTTATGGTTTGGAGCTGTGCGGTATTTGCATATCACCGATGCAAATAGCATATGAAATTTCAGCTAGAAAATATTGAGGGTAGAAAATACAGATATACTTCATATCATACCAGGGCAGGGAAGTCAGATTATTTATGATTGTCCTATTGAAATTAATCATACTAATTAAATTGATCATATCTATTTACCTCTGTAAAGCGAATCTCACTCTTTGTTTTTTTTCAGTTCAGATTTCAGATTTCTGGCTTTCATTTCCCTACTTTGTCTGTCTGAAGCAGTTGAAATAACACAAATGTTTTAAGAAAATGGTTTATCCTCCATTTTTTGCAATCTTATTTGGGGTTTTCTAACATTTACAAGGGTTGAATGTTTATTCTTTTGAAATACACAGCACAATTCTAGCTCATGCAAAACCCAATACACTTAACAAGAAATAACTGGAAGTAATTCACATGTAAAACAATAAGGAATAGTTCTGTCCAATTTGAGACCATGTGATTATAACTTGGTCTCCAGAAGAACTGTCTGAGAAAGTGTATGTGCTTTAGGTTTCAAAAATAGCTTACAACGTATAGCAGAAATAACTGTATTGGACCCACTATTGTAAGATGTGAAACTCAAAATTCTGTTACACTGACTGTATTTAAAAGCATTGACAGGCTCTCTTTGAACTGAATTTGTCAGGCAGTTGGAATAATCAAGGTTTTCTGCTAGAGCTGTTTTCAACAGTTGAATAGTGAAACCAGTTAATTGAAACTGTGACACCATAGAATAAACTGAACCTGATGGAGTATATTCTGATGGTTCAATCATAACAGAAACTATTAGGAGGGCTTGAAGAATTAATTGGATAATGTAAGGGGAAGAAGAACTGGCAGATATAAAAATGAGTGATTTTTTTTTTCTTTTAGGAAAAGAGTGTGGGTTTAGATCATCTGTATGAAGGGGCACCCACGTACCATATGATACACAAATCCATGAGGTAGCGTATTTTACAGTCTGGCAATTGAGAGATTTTTACACTTAGTGATTAAACTATTTCAAAATCAAAACCACTTTGAAAGGTTGTGTGCCCACAGAAGGGAAATTCTTGCCATAGTATTTAGATACTCAAGTGGGTGGGATTTGGAGCAACAAAATAAGTGCTGAAAGAGAGTCCTATTTTGGACAGAGTTTTGAAGAGAAAAGTTATTTGCACGTGGAAGTCCAGGAATGTAAAGGATTGGGCGAGGGAAACAAAGGCCAGTGTGACAGTTCATTGTTTACATGGCACAAGAAAATTACAAGGGTAGACGAAGGCAAACTATTTTAAGAGTTGCCTGGGCTCTCTTTCCTGTTCCTCTCAAATCCCACACCAAGAGTAAATCCACTGCCAGTGTGTGAAGTGCTGCTATTTTCAGTTTGCCTGAGAATCCTTTACCTGACATTTCTCACCTTGACATCAGGGGCTTAAGCACGAGTTTAAATAATATTCTTTGAGAGAGGCCATTAGCTCTGTTTGACCTGGCTTTTATTCCTTCCTTAAGTTGATATGGGCCTTGATGTTCCTACAGCAGTATTTAATAACAGTAGCCAGGGCCACCTGACATATGAGACTGAGCATTTGGGCTGAATCCTGTATACAATTTGCTGTATACAATTTGCAGGGTCCACAGACTTGGAGCAACCAGGGGCTACAACAAACACATCTACTTTTGGTTATCACCTACTGCTTTGCTACCCTATTCCTAAAGACTCTCAAAAATCTTAGTAGCACTGTAAGTGGCCATTAATTCTTATTTTATTTTTGTTCTTTGGGTCCTGCTGCTCTCAGGGGAACATGGGAATTACTAATATGGTCTGTAGTCATATTTATGATCAACCACGTGTTGAACAATTTAGTCAATGCTTTGACTTTAGAGATGATGTAGATTAGATTTCCTAAGGGAGGTGGAAGGGTCCTGAATTATAGCGAATGGAGATAATCAATAGAAGAAGTTCCAATATAACCTTTTGTATTTTATTTACAGTAAACAAGCCCCTGCTTACACCAAGAACTGGCAGAATGAAAAAGGTCAAGGTGCCGCTTTTTTCCTGGATCGCTCTCTTAGTTAATTTGATAGAAAACACCATCTGAGGTTTCTGCTTCGAGAGCAAAAAACACTTTTGGTAAATGTCTTTTCCAGAAGGACATATCACTCCAATCTTGAAAACGAGCTAAACTCAGCAACGAGGCTGCAGAAACTTTCGTTTCTCTTCAGGAATATCATACCTCTCCAGTGACTTGTGAGCTGGTATGTGAACAAAGGTAAGAGGAAAGGAGAGTGTGCTTTGAGTGAAAGTGTTATATAGGATGGTATCATGCAAAATTCTGTTCTGCTGAACGTGTGCTCTGACATTAGCAGGCCAAAGAAAGTTTCAGTGTGTAGAATTCAGTGCATTTGTGTAATATGAAATCACCACTAGATGGTACTTTTCAACAAACAATAGTTGACTTAAAACAGCTGGTCCTTCTCTAACTGCCTTCGGGCATGAGGAGAGGCCTCCAAAGGGTTGTGCTTGTTTATCTATGTTTTGTTTTGTTTTCTTAAGTCATCATTTTATCACTAATGTACAGGTTTGAGTCTTGGGAGAGCGGACAGGATGTGATTTAATCCAGAATTTGCAAATGGTCTGCATGATGTATTTTAGACCTGTCACACTTGGAAGGGGAAGACTCGGGCTGTTCTCAGTGGTGTGTCTAAGGTTTTAGATGTCCTCCTTTTTTCGCAGGGAGGCCGTTAAATCGTGCTGCTGGGAACCATACGGGCAGGTATGAGCATGTTGTATTTATTTAAAAGATGGTAAAGCAATTTCTTTCCTGTGTAGCAATTTCTTTCCTGCAGCCTTGTTTAGCAGTTGTAGGGGTCTCAGAGCTTTCTCAGCACTGCTGTCCTTGCAAGCTGATAATGTTTCTAAGCTAGGTGCAGTATTCCACTGTTATTCCTAAGAACGTACCATCTGTGTGTGTATATATGTTATGCAGAAATAAAACACTTTTATTTTCATAGTTTATTCAACAGTTGGTTTTCTCCTATACGGGGAATGTTATTAGTAAAGCAATGAAAACAAGTTTGTCTCAGCTGTGTATGAGATACTCGTATCCATGAGATCGACTCTTAAAACCGGTTTAAATTCAGAATATCTATTTCAGATAGTTTATTTCAATTTTGCATTTTATAGAACAGCAATAGGCCTTGACATTTATTTCTGTTTCATTTCTAAACGTCAGTATGTAGTCACTTGTAGGATTCACTTAACGAAACTCCATCTCTACTCTTTAGAAGAAGCTTTTTATGATTTATAATATAGGTTCCTTACAAGAGCAGTTTGCTATTCTTGTATGTAAACATTGCATTAAGTTTAAAACATTAGACATTGCATTAAGACACTCACAAGCTATTTACACTACTATATTTCATTCTGGAGATGGAAATTTCACTGGAAACAATATGAATCTTTTTACCATTTTGTCTTGATAAATCAACTCCAGTAGTCTCTCCAGAAGTGATTGTGAGTAAAATCTAACAGCATTCTGTTCTGACGGAGCCTGTGAGACTGGCAGAAGTTACAGTTAGCTTAAATAGATGAAGTAGTAAGAGTTTGCTATTTCAGGTCCTTTTTGGGGTTCATCTACGTTATTGTTTTAGTCAAAATGTGGAGTTCACACATTTTTTTAAGTGAATCCCGTGTCCCCTTGCTGCACTTCAGTTCCCATTGTAGAGCAGTCTCAAAGCCCGTGACTCGGATTGCACTGGGAAGAGGCAAAGCTGGAAGATCTGTCTAGATGAACATCTCGTGAGCGTTATCTGATGCCAGCTGGCGTTTGATCTAGAGGATCAGGCCAGCACTAAGTGAAACTCCTGAGATGTGTGTAGTGTGGAGACTGGGACCTTATCTCCACCCGTTTCAGCCTTTGGCCATACTGCTTGGTAACGCAGTCTACATTTCAGGAGTGGATACATAAAAAAGCTCAGCCCACGGAGGTTTGACAAGCTGATAATGTTTCTAAGCTAGGTGCAGTATTCCACTGTTATTCCTAAGAACATACCATCTGTGTGTGTATATATGTTATGCAGAAATAAAACACTTTTATTTTCATAGTTTATTCAACAGTTGGTTTTCTCCTATACAGGGAATGTTATTAGTAAAGCAATGAAAACAAGTTTGTCTCAGCTGTGTATGAGATACTCGTATCCATGAGATCGACTCTTAAAACTGGTTTAAATTCAGAATATCTATTTCAGATAGTTTATTTCAATTTTGCATTTTATAGAACAGCAGTAGGCCTTGACATTTATTTCTGTTTCATTTCTAAACGTCAGTATGTAGTCACTTGTAGGATTCACTTAACGAAACTCCATCTCTACTCTTTAGAAGAAGCTTTTTATGATTTATAATATAGGTTCCTTACAAGAGCAGTTTGCTATTCTTGTATGTAAACATTGCATTAAGTTTAAAACATTAGACATTGCATTAAGACACTCACAAGCTATTTACATTACTATATTTCATTCTGGAGATGGAAATTTCACTGGAAACAATATGAATCTTTTTACCATTTTGTCTTGATAAATCAACTCCAGTAGTCTCTCCAGAAGTGATTGTGAGTAAAATCTAACAGCATTCTGTTCTGACGGAGCCTGTGAGACTGGCAGAAGTTACAGTTAGCTTAAATAGATGAAGTAGTAAGAGTTTGCTATTTCAGGTCCTTTTTGGGGTTCATCTACGTTATTGTTTTAGTCAAAATGTGGAGTTCACACATTTTTTTAAGTGAATCCCGTGTCCCCTTGCTGCACTTCAGTTCCCATTGTAGAGCAGTCTCAAAGCCCGTGACTCGGATTGCACTGGGAAGAGGCAAAGCTGGAAGATCTGTCTAGATGAACATCTCGTGAGCGTTATCTGATGCCAGCTGGCGTTTGATCTAGAGGATCAGGCCAGCACTAAGTGAAACTCCTGAGATGTGTGTAGTGTGGAGACTGGGACCTTATCTCCACCCGTTTCAGCCTTTGGCCATACTGCTTGGTAACGCAGTCTACATTTCAGGAGTGGATACATAAAAAAGCTCAGCCCACAGAGGTTTGATAAGCTGATAATGTTTCTAAGCTAGGTGCAGTATTCCACTGTTATTCCTAAGAACATACCATCTGTGTGTGTATATATGTTATGCAGAAATAAAACACTTTTATTTTCATAGTTTATTCAACAGTTGGTTTTCTCCTATACGGGGAATGTTATTAGTAAAGCAATGAAAACAAGTTTGTCTCAGCTGTGTATGAGATACTCGTATCCATGAGATCGACTCTTAAAACCGGTTTAAATTCAGAATATCTATTTCAGATAGTTTATTTCAATTTTGCATTTTATAGAACAGCAATAGGCCTTGACATTTATTTCTGTTTCATTTCTAAACGTCAGTATGTAGTCACTTGTAGGATTCACTTAACGAAACTCCATCTCTACTCTTTAGAAGAAGCTTTTTATGATTTATAATATAGGTTCCTTACAAGAGCAGTTTGCTATTCTTGTATGTAAACATTGCATTAAGTTTAAAACATTAGACATTGCATTAAGACACTCACAAGCTATTTACACTACTATATTTCATTCTGGAGATGGAAATTTCACTGGAAACAATATGAATCTTTTTACCATTTTGTCTTGATAAATCAACTCCAGTAGTCTCTCCAGAAGTGATTGTGAGTAAAATCTAACAGCATTCTGTTCTGACGGAGCCTGTGAGACTGGCAGAAGTTACAGTTAGCTTAAATAGATGAAGTAGTAAGAGTTTGCTATTTCAGGTCCTTTTTGGGGTTCATCTACATTATTGTTTTAGTCAAAATGTGGAGTTCACACATTTTTTTAAGTGAATCCCGTGTCCCCTTGCTGCACTTCAGTTCCCATTGTAGAGCAGTCTCAAAGCCCGTGACTCGGATTGCACTGGGAAGAGGCAAAGCTGGAAGATCTGTCTAGATGAACATCTCGTGAGCGTTATCTGATGCCAGCTGGCGTTTGGTCTAGAGGATCAGGCCAGCACTAAGTGAAACTCCTGAGATGTGTGTAGTGTGGAGACTGGGACCTTATCTCCACCCGTTTCAGCCTTTGGCCGTACTGCTTGGTAACGCAGTCTACATTTTAGGAGTGGGTACATAAAAAAGCTCAGCCCACAGAGGTAATCTGAGAGGTTGGTAACGTCTACTGGGAGATGAGGAAAAATACAGCAAGTCTGTTCCTGGGTGGGAATAGATCCTAGGTAGGATCTATATACATGGGGGTTTTTGGGTAAAGAGCTTGCTTAAGTGTTAAACTTTTAAGTTTTTAAACAAAGGAATAATCTGCTTTCTTCATGTGTTTGGAGAAGCAGGACTTCGTGTACATTAGTCGTCAGTGACATTAGCATTTAAAATTCTCTTGTTTTCACGTGAATGGCTGTGAATATTGGCTGACTGCTCCACTCAGATACAACACAGCAGAACGATGAACAACAATGAAGATACAATGATGAAGAACATAGTTAATACTTTTTCCATCGCTGTGTTTTCTTGTCCTGTATACCTTTAGCTCTCTTCTGGTTTGGATTTAAGATTTTTAACATAGTGATCTTATTACATTTTTAAGTATTTTTTTATTATTTTGGTCAAGCCTCAGCATCAGGACAGGCAGAAAAAGCTGCCCATAAACATACTTAGATATACCAAATACCAGAAATAAAAGTAAGAGGAGAAACATATGAAAGAACACAAAATTAGTTTTAGAGAACCATCAGGTATTGGAAGGTTTATTTTCTCCTTGTACTGGCAATTGCTATTGTTATTTTATTCACTTTTTCCATCATCTTGGTCAGCATAAGCCAACTTTTTTATTTGTGAGAACTAGACCCCAATTTCAGTGTCTGATTTGACCTTCTGGTATCTGTGGAGACGACTGGGGAGGCTTTGTTCCCCAGGGTGTTCTGGTTTTGTGTGGCAGAAAACCTTTTCTCTCTGCTGTTGGTAGCACAACTCCTCTGCTTGAGATACTCAAATGCCAGTGAAAATAAGGAACTTCTCAGGAGCCTGCTCATCAGGTGTACTGAGTCCTACCCTACCGCTGGTAGGGTTGATGGGGTGGTTGGTGATAATTTTTGAACCAGAGCACCTGATCCATCTGATTTAAAGTAGAGGAAAGCAAGTGTTTATTTGTAATGCAATTTAAGGAAACATGTTGCAGCTGATCCAAGATTTGGGGCTGGATGTGTTTTTGAAAGTGGAGCACAAGGGTAATGTTTTGTTGTCATTACTTGTGTGCTCGCTCAGGATCCTTTGATGCCTCCATTCCCTTGGGCTTCTGGCCTGGGTGGAACATCAGAGGACAGCTCCATGACACCAGTCCTCTGCTGAAGCCAGAATGAATGAAACCAGAAACTCACCAGCACAGTTAGGCTGGGGGTGCTCTCCTGCCGCAGTAGTCTCTCCAGTCAAAGAAGCTCCTGTGCTCTGCTCTTCTGTTTTCAGATACTTAACTTTAAAAAAAAGGCAAGTATTGACACCATCGCTTTTTATTGCTTTGTTTCCATTGCTTTGCTCTCCTTTGCTGTCCTGCTGTGTTTCATCCATGTGTCCTCAATGTTTTGATAATTTGCAGCACAGTTTCTCCTATAATATTAAGAAACATTAAACTATTATAACCATTATGCCAGCGATTTAAATTTGCTTTTATCCTCCACTGAAATGATGGAAGTGTCTTAGTGAGAGACTAGCTTATATACACCACACTTGTAAACAAATATCTGTAGAACTGCAGTGTTCCACAGTTCTAGTTTTTTCCCTCCAAAATTGCTATGAAAATGACATAAACAAAATGCCATGTTTCACTTTTTGTTTAAAATCTAATTATTATTCAGGATTGTTAAAAAAAAAACAACGCAAACCTGAATTAATAAAATAGATATAAATTATAACTCCCTTTTTTATTTGTGCTTTTACATGTTGAAGATCCTGAGTTACAGAATATTTACTTCTGTGAAAGAGCAGGAAATTATATGCATATCCTCACACTGCTTTGCACTACAAAAGCAAATAGAAGTTCTTGCAGAGTCTAAGTGGTATTTATTTGTTTTTCAAATGATGTGAAACATACTTTTCATTATTATTTTTCTTTCATGTGACTGGAACTTTCTTTTAAAAGCAAATAAATTTATGAAGTTACTTTTGTTTATATAATGTGCTGGATTTTTATGAAACAGATATCATATAATAATCCAATACTGTAGTATTACATTTTTAGAGTACATAATGGAATTGAATCTGGCCAGGGATGTCAAAGACAACAAGAAGGGCTTGTGTAGGTACACAGGTGACAAAAAGAAGACTATGGAAAGTATGAGCTCATTGCTCAACAAAATTGGGGACCTGGTTATACAGGACATGCTGAGGTACTCAGTGGTTTCTTTGCCTCAGTATTTACTAGCAGGAATACCAGACCCCATGCACCAGGAGGAGATTGGAGTAAGGAAGATGCATCCTTAGTGGAAGAGGATCTGGTCAGGGAATACTTAAGCAAACTGAACATACATAAGACCGTGGGCCCTGGTGGGTTGTACACATGAGTGCTGAGGGAGCTGGCTGATGTCATTGCAAGGCCACTTCATAATCTTTGCTCAACCGTGGTGATTGGGATGAGAGGAGAGCAGTGGTTAGTGTCTACCTGGATTCAGTAAGACCTTCATCACTGTCTTCCGTAAGATCCTCATAGAGAATCTGTTGCTGAAGGGGCTGGATGAGCAGACAGCAAGGTTGGGGCTGACTCTTTTCAGTAGTTGCCAGTGAGAGGACAAGGGGCAATGGGCACAAGTTGGAACATAAAGGGTTCCACTTGAATATGAGGAAGAACTTCTTCACGGTGAGGGTGACAGAGCCCTGGAAGAGGCTGCCCAGGGAGGGTGTGGAGTCCCCTTCTCTGGAGATCTTCAAGCCCCGCCTGGATGCTCCTGAGTAACATGCTCTGACAAGCTCTGGGCAATCCTGCTTCAGCAGGGGAGTTGGACTAGATGATCTCTATGGTCCCTTCCAACTCTAAACATTCAGTGAAATTCAGTGAAATAGCCAGGCCCAGAGTGTGGTGATCAGTGGCATAAAGACCAGTTGGAGGCCAGTAACTTGCAGTGCACTCCAGGGTCATTACTGGGTCCAGTCCTGTTTAACACCTTTGTTAGGGATCTGCACGATGGTAGAGTCTGCCCAGAGCAAGTCTGACACAAAAGCAAGATGACACAAAACTGGGAGGAGTGACTCCACTGATATGGCAGAGTGTTGTGCTGCCATCCAAAGGGCTGGAGAAATGGGCTGATAGGAAGCTCATGAAGTTCAACAAGAGGAAGTGCAAAGTCCTGCATCTGGTGAGGAACAACCCCATGCACCGGTATATGCTGGGGACAACCCAGCTGGGAAGCAGCTTTGCTGAAAAGGCTCTAGGGGTGTCCTGGTGGACACCAAGTTGGACATGAGCCAACAATGTACCCTCATGGCAAAAAAGGCTAATGGTATCCTGGGCTGCCTTAGGCCAAGTAGTGCCAGCAGATCAAGGGAGGTGATCCTTCCCCGCTGTTGAGCACTGTTGAAGCCACACCTGGAGCAGTGTCCAGCTCTGGGCTCCCCAGTAGAAGAGACACATGGATATACTGGAGAGGGTCCGGCGAAGGGCCACAAAAATGATGAAAGGACTGGAGTATCTCTCCTATGAGGAAAAACTGAGAGAGCTGGGACTGTTCAGCCTGGAGAAGAGAAGGCTCAGGGGGGATATTATCAATGCCTATAAATGTCTATAAATCCCTCTGAAGGGAGGCTGTAAAGAGGACAGAGCCAGGCTCTTTTCCATGGTGACCATTGACAGGGCAAGAGGCAATGGGCATGACCTGAAATACAGGAGGTTCCCTCCAAGCATAGGAAACGCTTCTTTACTGCGGGGGTCACTGAGCACTGGCACAGGTTTCCTGGGGAGGTTGTGGAGTCTCCATCCCTGGAGGTATTCAGGAGCCATCTGGAAACAACCCTGAAAATGTGGCCCTGCTTGATCAGTGAGGTGGGACTGGATGACCTCCAGAGGTCTCTTCCAACTCCAACCATTGTATGATTCTGTGATTTTTTTTCCCCAAGATTTTCAAGAATACAGTAATTTAAGAAGAATTTCTAAGATGAAAAGTGGAACACAATATTTTGCATCCTTACAGCTACTTGTGTTTGTGTATTTAGGTTTTTTGCTGGTACACTTCACCAAAAGCTTTTTCTGTCTTTTTTTTTGTTTTACACGTACTCTACATTAACCTATTCACCATTGTGAAAATTATTTTAAAGTGTTGTTGCTATGCAAGTTATTTATCAAATGTAAATTTACTTCCAGTATCAGTCCCAAAGAACTGTATTTGTATTATTTACACAAAAATACTTTTTTTCGAAAGCTACGCTTTTTAAACATCTTTTAATGTGCTGCTCAACACTGAACTAATTACTAAAATATATAGCCTTAGTAACCACAGCTAATAAAGTAGGCAATTTATTCAACAAATATACATACATTTCTTTCATTTGAAAATAAGGTAATCAGAATAAGGAATGGAAAGTAGTAAACTCATGTTAAATTGAAGATATAACAGGATATGTGAAATCCCTTGGGTGCTTTCCCTGGCAGAAGAAAGGGAAAATAGAGGCTGAAAGCAAGGAGGACTGACCAACACCATGTGCAATTTGCTTAAGATGTCTTTTTGGCTGGCCAGCCAGAAAACCTGCCATTGGCTAAGGCTTTGCCTTATTTTTCTCAGTGTGGCAGAGGTCTCATCTTTTCCTGAGTTTGATGTGGTTTGGGCTTCTGTCTCAGCTTTTACTGTTTTGAACCAATTTTTCACAGAATCACAGAATCTTCTAGGTTGGAAGGGACCTCAAAGATCATCTTGTCCAACCGTCAACCTGACTGACAAAAATAGACACCCACACAACAAACAAGGAGCATCACCATCACTAAACCATACCTCCCAGCACTACATCAACCCGTCTTTTGAACACCTCCAGGGATGGGGCCTCAACCACCTCCCTGGGCAGCCCAGTCCAATGGCTGAGAACCCTTTCAGTGAAAATTTTTTTCCTAATATCCAGCCTGAACCTCCCCTGGCGCAACTTGAGGCCATTTCCTCTCGTCCTGTCGCCTGTGACTTGGACTTTCTGCATGGTTATATTTATTCTTTTGAAATTTGTGGTGCCTGGTACCTCAGCAGCTCAGATTGATAGACGCGTGATGGCTCAAAAGCTAAAGGGCATGCCAGGAGCATGCAGTTCAGCTGCAAGTAGTGGCAGTTCCTGCTTCAGTTTGGCATGAAGGTGTTCCTTGACTGAACAGGCAGATGGACTGAAATACTGGTGCTCAGATACACCCAACCTTACAGAAGTGATTGTGAGTAAAATCTAACAGCATTCTGTTCTGACGGAGCCTGTGAGACTGGCAGAAGTTACAGTTAGCTTAAAATAGATGAAGTAGTAAGAGTTTGCTATTTCAGGTCCTTTTTGGGTTCATCTACGTTATTGTTTTAGTCAAAATGTGGAGTTCACACATTTTTTTAAGTGAATCCCGTGTCCCCTTGCTGCACTTCAGTTCCCATTGTAGAGCAGTCTCAAAGCCCGTGACTCGGATTGCACTGGGAAGAGGCAAAGCTGGAAGATCTGTCTAGATGAACATCTCGTGAGCGTTATCTGATGCCAGCTGGCGTTTGATCTAGAGGATCAGGCCAGCACTAAGTGAAACTCCTGAGATGTGTGTAGTGTGGAGACTGGGACCTTATCTCCACCCGTTTCAGCCTTTGGCCATACTGCTTGGTAACGCAGTCTACATTTCAGGAGTGGATACATAAAAAAGCTCAGCCCACGGAGGTTTGATAAGCTGATAATGTTTCTAAGCTAGGTGCAGTATTCCACTGTTATTCCTAAGAACATACCATCTGTGTGTGTATATATGTTATGCAGAAATAAAACACTTTTATTTTCATAGTTTATTCAACAGTTGGTTTTCTCCTATACAGGGAATGTTATTAGTAAAGCAATGAAAACAAGTTTGTCTCAGCTGTGTATGAGATACTCGTATCCATGAGATCGACTCTTAAAACTGGTTTAAATTCAGAATATCTATTTCAGATAGTTTATTTCAATTTTGCATTTTATAGAACAGCAATAGGCCTTGACATTTATTTCTGTTTCATTTCTAAACGTCAGTATGTAGTCACTTGTAGGATTCACTTAACGAAACTCCATCTCTACTCTTTAGAAGAAGCTTTTTATGATTTATAATATAGGTTCCTTACAAGAGCAGTTTGCTATTCTTGTATGTAAACATTGCATTAAGTTTAAAACATTAGACATTGCATTAAGACACTCACAAGCTATTTACACTACTATATTTCATTCTGGAGATGGAAATTTCACTGGAAACAATATGAATCTTTTTACCATTTTGTCTTGATAAATCAACTCCAGTAGTCTCTCCAGAAGTGATT